TTTTCATATAGTAGAGTTAGAAACTGATGAAAATAGATATCTTATGGATAAGTGACACTGGAGTGCACTTCTTGCTGTTGTTAGTATGTTTCGACTGGTCATACGGTGTTGTTGTTTTCTTAAATGCAAGATAAGGTTGTGGTTGTTGCAAAAATTAATTTCCTTGTAGATCAGTAATAGACTCTGGTACTAGGGAAGAAAGAGGCAGGAATTTCCAAGTTCAGCCTTTCTCCGTCTTATTATCTGTTAGGTACAGATGTCATTCCTGCTTCACCTTAAATTTCAGTTACTGATCAGTCAGTTTCTCCACTGCCTGGATCAAAAGTTCTGTCATCTTCTCTAGTGGCTGAAGAAAAATGTGTGAAAATAAGTAACTTGTTTTTAACATTGAGTAGTAAGTTTGCAGAGGCGTAGTGTGGCAGTAAAGGTTACAATAACTGATGTGAGAAAATGTGGGAGAATCTGACCATAGTGTTTATAGTTCAGAGGCAAGTGTCTGAACATGGCTGATGAGTAGAAGATATTCATAGCTCAGGTACAGATGACTTGGATGCACATATTTCATTGTGACAGTGGAGAGACCTTTGAGCTGTATACAACTGTGCCACTGTCAGCTGTATTTGATCTGTGTACAACTGTGCTGTGAGAATACTTGTGATACGCATACATCTATGGACTCCCTCTGTCCTGAGATAAATGTTAAAAGGTGCGAGCTAGTAGACAAATTTATATTGTTGGGAAAAAAATGGATGAACAAACATACTGAAGCAAAAGCCAAGGTGTTAGCTTAATTATTGATTTGCATTTCTTAATTTCTCAAAATGGATGCTATATTGACAGTTTACTTCACCTGTATAATTCATTATGAATATTGGGTTTTGTTTGCTTTGTAGGCAGTTGTATTTAAAAGAGCATTTCTGTTTTGTAGAATACTTCATCTCCAAGTTACAGAGGATCGTTAAGTGCTGAGACTGTACTTTTCAGATTAATCAGTGTCAGAAGCTCTTATTATACATGCAAAACAATTTAATAAAGGTTAAAATTATATGCAAACAGAAAACTATAGCATGTAAATCAAAATTATATATATATACGTGTTTTTAAAGGTGCTGTCCTACTATTGTAAAATTTTCAGGCAATATTTATTCTGATGGTGGGTGGGTGGGAAGGGATTCATATTTGTTTTTTTGTGTTTTCCGAAAGCAATAATTCTGAGTGATATTTATAGGTAATTGATTGAAGAATTTGTCTATGATGCTGAGAACATAATTCGTCTATTTGTAGAGTTGAAATTATCGGTAACCATTGACATGATGCTGTAGCATATCCTATCTGGTCTTCAGTTACCTGTCTGTAAGGGCTCAGTTCTGATAATTCCCTGCTTTGTGTGGATCTTTTGGCTGCTTTAGGGCACTGCAAACATACATTTAGACAAGTGCATTCAGTTTTAGAGGTCCATATTGTAGACATGCATATGAAAATGCCTGGTTTTACTTTCTCTCACTGAAGAGAAATAAGTACTTCCAGATGATAATTGATTTCCTGTGTGTTATCTACCTTTTTGACAAGATGGAATACATCCTAGTAATATTTTCTCTAGGAATAAACCCACTGATTATTAGTAAGACATCATCAACTGTAGACATTTACACTTTAGATGTGTACTGTTAAACATAAAGATCCTATTGCTAATGAAAATGCTCAGAAACATAGGATTTTCCAGCGCAAGTAGTGAGTATTTATCTTCTGTAACTTGTCAGCACCTTTGAGTGTCACCTTGTCTCCAATATTCTAAGTATACTCTCCTTTATTGTTCTTTCCCCACCACCCGACTATTTAAAAAAAATGTTCAATAGTTTGTATAATAGTTAGTTAATATAATAGTTTTACTATAGATCTGCTACCTAGATATTTTGAATCATATTGAATATATGTAATGTGTCATTATTGGCAGAATTGCTCTTCACTGTTCATATTCAGCTTACGTCCTTATCTTTTGGATTTTGTAAGTACTTATCTGGGGAAAATAGATTCATAACATTTTAAAGAAACATTTTCATAGTTATTTTGCTAGTAAAATGTCAAATTTTATGCAATAAAACATTCCTATATATCCAAAAATATTTTTAGATTACATTTGCATTGGAAGCTTTAGGATAACAGATGTACATATGGTAATACATACAGCTTTAAATCTTTACACTTCTACTTCAGAAACAGTTTTGGAGCACATACTTGTTTCTCTTAAGCATCATTCTTTTTACATCCTAGTTTTCAGTGTATTTCAAAATTTAAAAAGTTGAGTACACCACCTGGAATCTATATACTTTCTTATAAAATTTTGGTATTTGGGGAGCTATTTCTACCAAGAACTATACATTCAATCAACAATCATATGGAACAGAGATCAAAATCTATCACCGTAATTTTTGAAAGGTTGTTTTTCAACTGGAAGGTTTTTTTTTTTTAAAAAAAAAAAAAAGAATAATATTACCTTGTGATTTACTTTCACATTAAACTAAGTCAAGGATGCCTACTATCTTTAGTCTTTCATTTACAGCTCTTTTATTCAAAACACAAAACTTTGTGATACAACTGACTAGAATTGTACTTTGACAAATCATTTATTGTTGTGTCATTTTTGAAGTTACTCACCCATTTTACCTCTGTTTTTATTGTGATAGGATCCAGTACATTGTTCATCTAAATACTGAAGTCAACCAAATGCCTTTTCACTATTTTGAAAAGGAGAAAAAGGAGAAAAAAATCAATATAATGAGCACAGCTAAGGCTAGTCATCTTGGGTTTTGGTTGAGTTTGATCAAACTAAATCAGACGCTATAAAACAAAAATTGTGAAAAATATCTCTTATCCGTGAGGGTACTTGTTTACTTGCATTCAGGCCCATTTGCATAGCTTTCAAGTACATTGTTTTTTGCACTTGGCATGTCAAAGATAAACAGCAGAGGATAAGTTCCCAGAAAACACAACATAGTTCTTTACAGCTGCAACATAGAAATGCTTGTGTACTGCCTATCTAGTTAACAGGTTTACTGCCTCTTGAGTATCAGACGTTGAAAGCTTCCCATGGCTATTTGTTACTCTTGATTTGTTTGTGCAAATTCCCTTCATTATGATCTCTGAGTTTCAGTCAACAAGCACTTTTTACCAAGTACTGTAAATCAGTGCAGGAGTGGTATGGTAAGGCTAGGTTGAAGTGGATAATAGGTTACAGTCAGGTGCTTCTGAGACTATTCCAAAACACTTCAATTTACATTGTAATATGGCAGGAAGATTTACTGATATCCATTTCTTACTCTCTTCCAGAAGAAGAATTCCAAATACTGAATATGACGTAATCTCTGGAGCTATATTTTTTTTTTCAATTTGTAAAATGTAAAAATGTAATCCAATTTGCAGTTCCTGTCTTTTTTTTTTTCATTTTTGAGCAATGTAGTAAAATAATGAAAGAGACCTTACTTTTCTTCTTCAGTGAAAGGAGAAATTTTATTGAACCTTAATGGTTCAAAGAATACTTGGGTAAGGAAAGAACACTTGTAAAAGAACTAATATTTCCCTTATCTGCACCTCTTCCCTCATCCCTTCCTCATATCTTCTCCCTCTCTAGTGACGTGTGCTTATAATAGGATATTGCACTGAATTAAAGAAAAACTATTTTAGGTTTCTGAGATGTGATTTTTTCTTATAAAGCCAGGTACTTCAGTTATTAAATATATATATGTATATTTATCAATTGAGTTGTACTCAGGCATTAGAAAATATCTTGAAAATATTAAAAACAGTTGTTTTTGCACTTAGACAGTAATTTGAAAATAAGAATGAGAGTAGGTAATCTTTAATAGAATACGGAGTTAGAGTTCAGTAGACAGTTCATTAAGCAGTTTTTCTTAACAACTTGAATATGTTGTCGCTATGGTTACAAATGTCACTTTTCTGTGATCTACCACTGAAGCATTGATTACTGGTTGCATAATGTATTTTACAGTTAATAACTAAAACATACTTGAAATACTAAATGTATTTTCAATAACCAAAGTGTGCTTTTGTAGGTAGGGATGGGGGCTGCTGGGGTCCTGTCGGGTCCTGGCATTGAGATCCCATCACCCGTCCCAGCAGGGAGCAGGGTCTGGGCAAATGAAAAGAAAGTCATGAATGATTAACAATAGTTTTTTTTCAGAAACCTCTTTTAAAATATGTCCTTTTTCAAAACAATTATTAGAAGCCCAGTGTAATAAAGTAAATTGAGTTTTCCTGATTGTGGTGTTTATGCAGCAAAAAAAGATATTGCATTATATACATGGAAATTTGAGGAATCTGCGTTATTTTCCTAAAGAAACAATTAATGTAATTAATATATAAGTGGGAAAACAAAAACAAAACAAAACAAAAAAAAAACACTTTATTTTCTTTTGTAACAATTTGATTGAATTTTAGTCTCAGTGAAAAATTCACTGTATTCTTAAAATGGAACTGAAATTACTGTCCATATTCATTATATATGCACACTGCAGTTTAGATTGCAAGATATAAAATAGACTCATGTTTCTGATAGTTGCCTTTTATTCAGCTTCACAAAAAAAACAAAAAAATACCTCTACCTTTGGTTCAGGTTTATCCTTCCTGAACCAGATTATAGATGTCTGGAGTAAATTATGTTCCTCACCTTCACTAAATTTACTTGGCGAAGTACAATTATTCACATGTTATTTGCAGACAATTGCATGGCATGGAGCGCAATCAATTAAGTTGCCCTTTAAGGATAACTTACCAAAATGTAATGCAATTTTTGGTACTATATTAAACATGCAACAGCTGCATAAGTGAAGCGTCAGTTCTGTATGTAACTCAGCATACTAAGCACCTTATAGTTACTATAATTCTATGTTTCTTGAACCAGAAAAAGCTGTTGAAAAGCTTATTTACGAGGCCATCTTGAAGCACCCGTTTTTAAAAGTATACATTTGCTTTCTTTTTACTAGGTTATTCAGATAAATTTTGAAGAATTTGATCTGGAGATTGGCTATGACACACTGACAATCGGTGATGGAGGAGAAGTGGGTGATCCTAAAACTGTGCTTCAAGTGTAAGTCTCTTGCATTTATACCTGTGTGTATTACAGAATGTGATTGTTTGATGACTGGAAATAATGATGAGAAAGAGATAATTCCTAACAAAAACTAATCTTACCGAGCTTCTGAAAGTTCTTAATGCTGGCAGGTTAATACGTTATTTTTTTATGAACTTACCGGTCTAATATGAGAAAGAGATGGATTGGACAATAAAAGAAAAGATAAACTAACATACTTTTAAAGAGACACATTCAATCTCTATTTTCATGTGTACACATGCAAATTTGTAGAGCCTACTATGCTTGCTTTGTAAGTGGGTTTTCATTTAAATAGTTATCAGAAAGTGGTTGAAAATAAGTAAATGTTCTACTTCCACCTATTCCAGCAACCTTGCTTTGACAAAAGATGTATTGTAGGACTTTGACTTCCACGTGCTTATTGACTATGGTAGATAGGCCCAGAAAATGAGCTAGTATAGTGAAGAAATAATTACAGAGAAAATCTGAGTAGGAAAAATATAGTAAACGACTCTGTTCAGATTTTTTAAAATGTTAATATTGATGTATAATTAATATTAATACATATGTGTATATACTTGGAAATGTCTGACATATTGGGGAAGAATGATGTAATTACAGTGTTAAGCCTATCATAAACATAATGGAATTCTGAATCATTTTATTTTAGCAAGGAATTACAATTGTCATGAGACTCATTTACGTCTTAATGTATATGATAAGATGTAAAGAACTAGGCAAATATATTTTTTTTCCAAAAATTATGTAGAAGGCAGAATATAATTGAATATTGCTAAAAACTTGTAAATATTTGCTTCTCTGAGCTATGCAAATGCTGTTTGGAATATCAGGCATCTCAAATAAATAATCTATTGTATGATGTAGTTTTGGATGGCACATTTTAAAATAATTATCTTTCCTCCAGCAAATTGTTAATTGTTTTGAATGTGACTGCCTTATTTTTAAATCATGTGAAAATGCTTATTTATCTTTCAGTTTATCAAAATTAGTCAGGAATTCTTCCCAAACATTTATTCCCCTGGCTTTACTGGACACTGTTGGATAGGAAAGCTGAGAACCCAAACCTGAATTTAAGCAGCATTTAGATAGAATTATGCTTCCTAAATCTACATTGTAGTCTTGATATTTCCTGCTCTGCTGGTGCTAGACATGGGAGTAGATTAACTTCAAAGCCATTTCAGGATTTGTCATTAAATTTCCCTGCATGCTTACATATACCCGCTTCCAGGAACATGAACAGTTCCTTAAGCCTAGTAAGCTGGGGACCTAATGAACTGATCAGAAAACAGTTGTTGGACAAGGTAAACTGATATGAAGCTGTTCCTAGTGCTTGCCCATGAAACCAAAACTTTCACAAGAAGGATCATGTAGAAGGTTTAATACTAAGGCCTGAAGGGGAAGAGGAAGAAAAGGAAGAAGAAATAGTGGTTCCTGCTTCCTACAGCAGTCACAGCACTTTTTCAGAATGTTGGGAGATCTGGTTTCAGGAGCTTGCCCAGACAGTTGTTGTGGGTCACTCTTCATCTGGGTACACCTTGGCACTGGCTGCTATAACACGTTTGGAAAATCCAGGCAGCGATTGGTACGCGTGCTGTATTGGGTGTACATGTGCATGCACTCCATCTCCCATACTAGGGATCATCTTTAGCAAAAGGCAAGGAGAGTGTCAGGCTTCTGAACATCCTCTAATCCACTCTTGGCTGATCTGTCTCAGCAGAAATATATCTCACTATTATGGGAGAGAGGTAATTTTGGAACCCTTATGGAAGAGTTGGAATTTGAAAACACACTGCTGAGTGATACGATAGAACTGATAAACTATGTAATAAAATAAATAAACAAATAACTAAAAATTAAAAAAGAAGACAGGATAATTCACAACCTCAGTTTCACTCTTTATTTTCTTAAGTAGCTTCCTTTATATAATACTGCTTTTTCTGGATCTTACTGATTTACATCCCCAAATTCTTCCCAAGTGTATTACAGACAGCGCTAAAAACTTAAATCAGGACTCTGCAGGATTCTTCACAGGTCTTGCAGATGCTGCAATTACAGATAACTCATTTCCTTTTACAATGGGAGTTGGAAGGCAGCAGAGAGGAATTTTTTCATGATGTGATATTTTGTTAAAAAACATGGTCTCTGAAAACTGCCTAGAGAAAAAAAAAAGTAGAAACAAGTATTTATAACTGTTTTAACAAAGCAGAAATTATGAACATTTCTATCCTGTATATCATAGGAATTGTCCTCTGTGACATTACTTAGAGACTGATATTCCCAATGGCCGTGGCCAAAATCTACTACCTCTCACCAGTGACAATTACAGAGCTCTGTTGGTCATTACAACAGTGTTGTTTCTAATGGAGGGACAGCCTGTTAATCTATTAATTTGGCAAAGTCTGAAATCACAGAAGACAGTTCCCGTAGAGTAGGAATGAGCAGTTAGTGCATTATTTTATTTTGGCCAGGCGGTTACTTGTTCAGTTCTGGCAACAGTTGCTGTAGTAGCTCCATCTGTGAGCGCAGATGTGAGAAATTGCCATGAATTTTTCCCATAGCACATTATTTTATAGAGCAACAAGCTAAAATAGAGCAGAGGAGAGATCTAAAATTAACTACAAAATATATTTTAGATAGACTATTTGAAGTTTCAGCTTGTTTTAAAGAATGAGTACAAGTGGTGAAGGAAAAAAAAAAAAAAAACACCTATTTTTACGTGATCTTGTGCTTGTGTTCCTAACTTTGCAAGAATGGGAAATGTGTTGCTACTTTCCATCATTCTATTGACAATGAGCCAATAACTCTTGGCCAATAGCAAATCAGAGACAAAGCCTTTTTGTTTTTTGAAAAAGAAGAAGAATGTAATTTGTAAAACTGCAGGTTTCAGAATGCTTTGTTTTTACTGTCACAGTATTTAAGAATCATTCAGCAAACCAAATGAACATGTAGATTCCACTGACCTCAGTTTTTTATACTATGATAAGAAAAAAAAAAGTTATAATTCATGTGTTTATGTATGGATGGCCTGTATCACTTCAGATACCTTGTGGGGTTTGAAATAGAAGTCTTGCAGACACAGAAGTTGCAGAAGTCTTGTGTCCTACTGGAACAGGAGTTAGAGAACAGTTACATCTATAGAAAAGATTACTAATTAGTTACTCAATGTCTGACAACTTTGGAAAGTCTTAAAGTCCTGACATCTGGTATTCTTGTTAATGAAGCAATGACACATACCTTCTTCCACCACTGTAACAGAGGCGATGAAGGGAGGTAAGAGTGTACAGAATAAAAGGGTATTCATAGCCATATTGTTATTTAAGAAGAGAAGCCTCATCTTAAATATGGGATGTCTGTGGCATTGTTGTATACCAGATGGGATAGTTATATTCCAGTGAAACCCCATTCCTGAAGAACAGATACAGTGCCTTATCAGCTCCTGCTGCTCTTTGATATATCTGCAAGTATTTGAGACATGTATGCAGGATTGCCCGCAAAGATTCAGGGTGAGGAGAGATACATGCTTTTCTGGACTACTAACTGAAGGTGAGGTGAGATCCTTCACTATATTCCAAACAATACTTTTCTTGTATTTGTGGATTTCTATCAAAACTGTAGCTAGCTTTGAGAGCTATATCAATATATATTATTATATAAAATATGTTATTCTTCAACAGTTATTTATATTCCTTCTGTCTTAGATCAAAGTGCCAATAACGCAAAAGTAAAAATTATCTGGTTCTTTAATATTTAAAATCTGTTTTTTTTTCCCTATACTTGTTTATGGTGTGGTTGTCTTTTCAGTCTATAATTAAAGCTTCCTTCTTGGCTTTTATCTCTGTTAAGAAAGCCTAAAGTACAATGACTTTACACTGATTTTGCTTTCTCTAGGTTAACTGGGAGCTTTGTACCAGATTTGATTGTGAGCATGAGCAATCAGATGTGGTTGCATCTTCAAACGGATGAAAGTGTGGGTTCAATTGGTTTCAAGGTTAACTACAAAGGTAACAATATATAATTGGAAGCAAATTTAACAGTACACCAAATAAGACCAATATTATGAATTGTTCTTTTGCATTAGAGGATGCATTCTTTTCACAGTTCTGTTATTTTTTTTTAATGCAAGAGAATGCAAGGTCTTTGAGTAGGAAATAATAGTCAAAATAAGCTTGTTCTCTTAAAAGCTCTTATGTCCTCTGAAATTGCATAACCTTTATGTAGTGTCCTTAAAGGAATCAAATCCAAGAAGTTTTACATTCATTTTTTGTTATTTCATGTCGAAAAATATTAAAATGAAATAATTCTTTGACTATTTAAAGCTGAATGCATAAACATACATTTCTTACATTCTTTTGAAAATTTGCCATGCTTATCAAAACAAAATATCAGAAGCCTAGGGTTGGAATTATCTAGGAATTTTGGGTCCAGACAAAGAAAAGCTTACATTATACTGTTGTTCTTTACTGTCGTAAAATGCGAGAGTTCTATAATAAAAAACAGGTGTTGCTATCTGATGCCTCTGGAAGAAACTCAAAGTTTTATACAGCATTAAACATAGTATCAAGCAGAGAATTAAGAATAAAAATAGATATTGTTTTGTATTATTACAGAAGTATTTTTATTTATTGAGTTTGCATTAGATATACCATCTTAGTTTCATGTACTTAGAATACATACTTTTTAAAATGACATGTTTCCTGCCTGTTCTTGAAGCAGATAATAGGCTATATCATAGTTATTTAACAAAACAGAGGAAGAAAGGCAAAAGCTAATAACATAGCTAATATACATAATAATGTATATGAGAAATGAAGTAGATTTTGTGTTTTGACACTTATTGATGCTTTCGCATAAGCTATTGCCCTTCCCTATCCAAATTTTTAATCAGCCCAAATAAATTCTCAGGATCACCAAATGAAAATAAATAAGATTTAATATATGATTTGGAGAAGAAAAAGAATCACTGAGGTACATCATCCTGTGAAAGGAATGGAGTGATGACAAGGAAATAGGATAAGTAATAGAGTGTACTTAGTAGCGCAAAAGAGTGAGAAGACCCTTAAAACAAATTGAGGAATGATGAATGGAAAGGCTTATGGGAAATAAAGCTGCACAATATGAATTGCTGTGTCTTTCTCTCCTTAAGTTCCTTTTGACTGTTTGAGTATGGTAAGCTCAGTAACGACAAGACACAAGTGCAAGAATATTTATGCATTCATGCTATTCAGATGATTATGTCAGAATAAGACTAGGATTGGAAGAGTTTATTACTTACCAGTTTATAACTTACTAGTTATTAAAATTCAGGACTGCTACATTCCTAGCAGTTGTTGAAGGGGAAAAAATGGTCAGTAGAAAGACATTTTTTTAAAAAATAGAGACATGTAATTTATGAATATAGCAAACCATGGCTAAGTGGGAGAAGGACTTCTTTTGATCTGAATTTGAAATAATTTGCGCAGCTCAAGTAGTTGTTTCCTTTATTTACACAACTCTTTTTAGTAAAATAATTTTACCTACAATAATTTTAGTTTGCAGAGGGCAGAGGATTACTGCTATGCTTTGTTTTATTCATGAGTTACACTTATTCTTAGAAACAGTGGTTCTGCAAGAATAAAATTAATTGAAATTGAAAGGTAGAAGGAGATAGAAAGAGTGAGTACTCACAGAGTCTCATCTCCATATAATCAACTACCTATATGATTGCATATCTCTCTGAATTGTGAGGATGTTTTTATCTCTTTGCCTACACTGATACTTTACACTAGCTCACCACATAACATTTGAATGAATCAAGCTTTCAACACTGTTTGTTTGTTTTGTTTTGTTTTGTCTGGATTATGGTACTAGATTTTTATCAGTTACCTTTGCTTTGATCCCTGAGAGAGTATATTTATTCATTAGAGATAAGAGCATTGGACAATATTCCCTTCAGCAAGATGCCTTTCTTTGAAATCCTTTCTGGATACAATGGTAGATTCTGAACAGAGATGTCTAATTGGATAATATTTTGTATAAAAAGCTGGTTTATAAAGTAAGATTATATAAACCAGCTTTGGAACTAACTTGGGAATTTCTTAAAAGCAATGTAATTTCTAGGAGTCCAAGTAAAAGTTTAAACCTACTTTAAGGAACAACATGAATTACTACAGTGCATGCCAAAGATGATTTTATTTCTTTTTAATAGAACAGATCAAATTATATTCCTAGAGCTTGGCTCCTTTCACCTCACAGCTCCTACTATCCATTCCAAGATTCAGAAACGTAACTGTGGCTTCTGATACTGTGTTCATTTTTATATATTACATACATAAATCTTGACAGTTTCTGTTTGCATAAAAGTGCATCCAAATTAGCATCTCGGATTAGATCTGGCAGTGTACTTTTGGAGTAAACCTTCTGATCATGCCAACTCCCCTTGCTTTGGTTAACATAATGGAAAAATCTTGAAATGCACCGAATATCTTGTTCTGAAGTAATTCAGAGGATGCACTTGAACAGCATTCCGGAGGCACTACAGCTGCTAATGGACACTCAGTCCAATTTGCCCAAAATAAAACACTAAAACAAGCTGAAACTTTTGTTAATAATATGGGTATTGTATCTTCTATTACTTCATCCTAAAAATTGTCATGTATTGGAGAAAATTACTAATGTATCTGATACAGTACGTGCAAATAGCCAGACTATTTGCCTGTTAAAATGCTTTGTTGGCTAAATATTTGCCCAAGTCTCAGCTAAGAACAGAGGAAGCACCGTAATGCATGTCTCATGCCATCAAGATTTGTAATGGATTTGTAAAAGGATTTGTAAAGATCTGTAGAAAATGAACAATGCTTCAATATGGTGGATATTTTCAAGAAAGTAGATTGTCCTACAAGGAACGTGAGAAGAGGAACAGAAGGCTGTGGGATATTGTGCCCATTTACCCTATGTCCCCCAAAAGAGTGTACTTGCCCAAAGTGTGAGATGGAAGGTTGAATACTTTCCGAATGGAATAGAATTGAATGCACTGTATCATTTGTCATGAATGTGTGACCCACCAAGTATTGTTCCTGTTTGCTTTCTCCTTTTCCAATACACTTCATGTTATGTAAGTGGAAAGACTGAAAGTGAATTGTTGAATGCTTTGTCATTCTCTAATTTAGGAGGTTTTAAGTTGAAAAATTATTTCAAAACTATGTTATTACAGGAACTAACAATTTATTCTCTTTTGTGTACGTGCCATTTGAGAAAACCTAGTAAGTATTTGTGAAATAATAAAAATCTTTGGTCTCTTCTAGACTTAATGATGTTGCATATGGAATCATTTTATGGTTTTAATCTGTAGATGTCATTACTGTTATTTAAATGAAAAATAATGATTCAAATAATCACCAATCTACTTAGGAAAGTAGAAACACACGGGCTAAAGAGAAATGCAAGCCCTGGTCCCTGGTTCAGTAAAGGCATATATATATGCAAGTATATATATATGTATATATACACTTCTTCCTGCATTATTGTGTAGGATGTCTTCATGTTCCAGATCTATGTGTATACATTCTGTATTTATTGTATATTTTGATGGGATATATGGAATACTTAATATTTTGAAATGTATGGTTACCAGTTCATAATTTTGATTATTTGACTACCTCAGCTTTCCTTTGGGTATAGGATCAGATTGTGCCCATCATACAAATAGCAAATAATTAAATAATGGAGTTTTGTGAGCTTTGCATATCATTGTTATGAAGGAAATCCTACAAGTTAATACTTACTACTAGTAACATGATAAATTAATACTTCATTCAGTATTTCGGAAAGTTATGACATATTTGTACAGTGACACTTTTTTTCCTAAAACTATGATGAAGAGGAAGGAGTTTCCATCTAAAAGGTAGTGAAGAAACTGACAGTCCTCAACATATTTAAACACTGAAACTTCGTTTTGCTAATCTAAATTTAAGAGGAAAAAGCCAACTGTGCAAAATAGAAAACATACTGTTAGAAGTATGGCATAGCTTTAAAAAAAGAAATAGCCTTCGAAGGCAGAAATAGCCTCATTTTTGTTAAGATCATAAGGTTTTGAAGAATTATACTTTTTTTTTTTTCATTTCTGAAAAACCAACTGAGAATATAATTAGCAGTGGAGTACTATAGTACTTGGAAAATTGTATGTGAAAGGTCTTTAATTGTAACCATGTTCATATACATCCGCTTCCTCTTATTACATTGGACATATGTGAAAGGATAGACAAAATAGTAAAAGTACATATTATATGCCTTTCCAAAAGGTTATTGAAGAATTCCTGGGGTTGCAGATTAAAAATACATTATCACAGTAGTAGCTCCTAGGAAAAAAGCAAGAAATCAAATTCATGTAAATGTACAGTACAAATACATCCTGCATTACCTTAGGATGGACAAACTGAACTCTTGCTTCTGAATGCACAATAATTCAAAACATCTTTAGGGCAGCCTGTTGCTTTGAGGTTATATTACACCTTCAATTTCTGAGCCGTGGTTAGAGCTGAGATTTATGTACTCTGCCGTATGCCCAGTAAGCAACTATACAATAATAAAAACTTTTAAATCTTCCAAGTAAGGTTTTCTAATAGCTCTGCCTCCTGGCGGGACAAATTCTACTAAAATATATATATATATTGTTGCTGTTTTACCCATACTTAATTTTAGTTGCATGATCATGTTGAGAAAGGTTGCTTAGAGTATGATGGTAAATTTTCACTATCTAAACAGGACTGTGGTAAAAAAGGAATTTAAACGATTTGCTTATGAATTTTTCTGTATAAATAAGGTCATTCTCTGTAATGAGATTTATACACTGGTACCCAGTATTTAGAAAGATTTTTCTACTTAAAGCAGAACTTTAATCTTGCTCGAGCCAGTGTGACTTGAGTTTGCATGCTTGCCTGCTCAGGCTGCCTGGGGTGGCCTTCCACTGTCTTGTGTTGTCCAGGTTTCAGACTATTTTCCTAGCAGTAAGCTCTGAACCACAGAC